CATAATACATAAACAAATTAAAATCAGCCAATATTTTAAATTAATTTTTAAATCGTGATAATAAAACAATTTATTAAACAGACTTTTATAGATAAAATTATTATTATATTATATTCTAAGAATTATATTTTGCAATTGATTTAAAATTTATTTATTCGTAGACAAACATATAAAAAAATAATGCTTGGAAATAATAAATTTATTGAAAAATCAAATAATTGTTTTTACAATAAGCGAGTTGGGTTAGGTTAGCACTAGATCAGCATAACTGGTAGATTCATTTCATGATGATCAGAATTCATAATCTGATTCCTTTCACATACCTAACTGACCAATAAACTAATCACTAACTCAATAATACTATAATAATATATTTACAGCTCGTCTCACGCGCTATCACTGTATTGTATGCACAACCCTACTACTGGCAGATATTGCACCGTGCAACAATAAATTCAAATAAAAAATAAATAAAAATCCGATAATCTCACTGATCTATCGCGCTTGTAGACCAATGTTATAACTCGAAACAACAGACATAAATGAAATGTCATTTAATGAAATTTAATAAAATTTAATGAAATTTAATATTTTATGATACAAAAGTTTGTCTTTAAAAACAAAAAATAAATGCTTTAATCTAGATTGATCATGGTACTTTCATTATCATCGGAGCCATTGAGTTTCATATGAATCCTATTGTAAATACTTTTCATGCGTTTATACGTGATATGAATGCATACATCGATGCCTAAGGCTTGCGATAAACGCCGTAGAAATAGTAGTTATAAACGAATAATCGTTGCCAAAAGTATGCGGCGGTTTGTTTATATTTTCTGAATATTCTACGGAGAAAATGAATATCAAGTATTACTTATTTTTTTGTTAAATCAACAAGATTAATTCTCATTAAATAATTGAGCGCATGAGTCGATCCGTGACATATAGGCGCTCGTGAACACCAGCCCACCCAATAGTAGGCAGAAAATCAGGAATATTCTCTGACAGGTATTAAACGATATTTCCGATGAGGTATCCATTACTACATCCCTTTCCGCATATGAATCCATAGACTTTTTGCTTCGCTTACGTAGGACATTTATTATGAGATACAGCAACCAGAATATGGCGGACAACACTAATACAAAACGTAATAACAATACTATGAAACTCATTTTTATGTACGGATTGCCGCCGGTATGCCATGGGAATGACCCAATCAGGTAGTAATCGATGGGCAGGTATGCTAAACACCGTATGATTTCCACGATTGGCGCATATTTTCTATAAATTAATTATTAGTAATAAATTGTAATTAAATCTTACATTGTTAAAGTACAACGAAAACTTGAACTAGAACATTTAACGTTAATTTGATATTGTTTGTGATATGTGTTAAATTGATTAAAAACGCATTTTTAAAATTCAGGTGAATTGTCCTAGATATATTAATTAACCGCACTCCATTATACAGATTTAGCATAATAAATAATTGTTATCCAGGCCCGGTTTTTAACAAAAAGTTGTTCGTCTAATATGAATGAATAAATATAACAAAATTAGGTTTTAAACACCAAATTTATACATATTGAAAACCTTACCGCCTTAAATTAGACAAATTAATTTCTTTTAGGAAACTTTTATTATGCTAAATCTATATAATGGAGTATAGTTTTATTAAACTCCTATCACAAACCGTGAATTTCAATAGTCAGTTCTTTTGTTTTCCCAAACATATTTAGACAAATTAATTTCTTTTAGGAAACTTTTATTATGCTAAATCTATATAATGGAGTATAGTTTTATTAAACTCCTATCACAAACCGTGAATTTCAATAGTCAGTTCTTTTGTTTTCCCAAACATATTGATTATTTTTAAAACATTATTGACTTTAACACATATCTGGTCTTGGAAAGCAAATTCAGGATTATATATAAAATACATTGTATATTGAATGATAAGTATTTATTCAAATATAAAAATAGTCTTAAACTTAGTTATGTACAATTCACNTGATTATTTTTAAAACATTATTGACTTTAACACATATCTGGTCTTGGAAAGCAAATTCAGGATTATATATAAAATACATTGTATATTGAATGATAAGTATTTATTCAAATATAAAAATAGTCTTAAACTTAGTTATGTACAATTCACGCTACTTATACAATCATGTACATGTCATGCTACACCGAATAAATTGTACCATTCACATGGACATTGAAACTTTGAGTTTGAGATAATTTATCTAATGTTTTGCAACAAAAATATAAAATGCAAATAAATATAACAAACCTATCCTCAAATATGGCCCCAAATGATACCGACGTGAGTACAATATATAACATGGCGATCAGAACATTCACAAACGAGAATCGCTGTCAAAATAAGTTATATAACATTAACTTTACCAATTATTTCAAATATCATTTAATAGTGTTAGGCCTACTATATTTGGATGATCGACAAATCGGTAAAATCCGATCGCCACAACCGCCCCATGGAATCCCGTGTACACCATTTTCCAGAAGGCTATGTACGGGTCGTAGCTATAACGGGGAAGTGTCGCATCGGGCTCTGGTATGTCGCTAAGTAAGCCGAGTCTTGGTTTGCCCGGCGCCCATCCCGGCCCTTTAAAAATTGCTGACACCTTATTGGTCAACCCGTCAACGGTTTTAAATTTGCGCCAAACATGTCCATAATGTCCAAACTGAAGGGTCATCATGTCAAAGGAGTTGGGTGTGGGCGGCACGACTCCGAACACTATTTTGCGGGTCTCTTTGGGCTCCTGATGGGTGCCAAACAGTCGGTCCCATATCATGAAAAGTGAACCATAGTTCTTATCGATACAGTAGGCGTTCCTCCCGTGATGTACCCGATGCTGACGCGGGGTATTAATTATGTATTCAATGAAACCCATGTTTCCTATAATTTCGTTGTGTAACCAAATCTGATAGAGTAGATTGAACTGTATGTGTACCACAAGTAGTGGAGGCGGTATTACGACGGATAATGAGAGCCATGTTGTCTGGAAAATTAACATGGCACAAAAATAGTAATGAGTATTTAAAATATATTTTGATTTTTTAGATATTATATATATCAGTGACTACACTACTACTTAAATGTGCGTTTTTAAATAAAAATTAAAACATGTTTCAACACTAGTTTGCACTTTTCGTAAAAATTGCAATTCGAAACATTAAATGTACGTTAGGAAAATAAGCATATAGAATTTAAAATATTTACATCATGTACAAACATGTCGATAATGGAGTTTCGGAGCGCAGAGGTTACGTTTATGTCGGTAGGGCTGTGGTGAAACTGGTGACCCGCCCACAGTATGTTGAACTCATGGAGGGACCGGTGAACCCAGTAATACAAAAAATCCACTAATAGCACTGATATGATCCATGTCCACACGGAATGCAGGGGTAAGTCCACAATACGGTAGTTAGTGTAGAGCCACGTGTATATACTTATTATAATTGTCAACAGAAATATGCTATATTTAAAATACAATTATGATTAGTGTATAATTTTTACACGAATTTACCTAGTAAAAATGAGGGTTATAAGATCACTTTTAATAGCTATATTTAAATACGAATTACATTTAATATTAATTAAAAAATGATAGTGTTCTTAAAATTATTATTCAGATAATAATAATATGCATGATACTGTACTTACCGGGCTAATGTATTTATGAGGGCTGACCATATATTAATTATCATATCTGGATATCTTGGAAATTGTTTTCGTTGTACGAATCGGGTGACCAATTCGATCGTGAATATAAAGGCGATAGCTGGAATAACCTAAAATATGATCAATTACATCTTAATTAAATAAATTATTTATCGAAAATTATGTATTTCACAATATTACTATATTTTATATGCTTTACTGTTGTCCCCAAATTGTTTTCTAAACGTACATATAAACCCCATGATGTACTTACAGTCACTTCATAGTCGGGCACCTGGTAAGGGTCGTCATAAGTGTATCTCTGGGGAACCATTATGTAAAATAGTGATAAAACCAACTCGATAAACCGGTACACCCCGTCCCATAAGCACTCGGAAACCGAGCCCATGGTTAGTGAAGTTTCATTGGAAACCAAATGTTCAACCATTGCTATTTAAAAAAAATAATCTCAATATATCTATAGTTAATATCATTGTTAAAGTATTAATTTAATCCACTATATATATGGATACGGTATAGGTATGACGTATTATGTATGTAAAATAATATATGCCGTATTTTTAAGCCAAATAGTAATAAGGGTTCAAAAGTTAAAATAACGTTTTTGCTTAAACGTTACAGTCAATAAGCCGGTGTGCACAAAGTACGTACACAAAATTTTAGAAAAATTTGACCCCCTCCTTTTCCATTAATTTTACATTAATGGAACGCTGCCTAAAAGTAAAAATGTATAATAAAATATTTTTGAAACACTTACTTCACTAGTGTAACACAGAAAAATTAGCAATTGTTTAGTGCATAACCAGTAAACACACAAACTACAGAAAAATGCCCTTTTTAATTTAATTTATTAAGTAAAATATTAATCAATTTACCTTGAACAGCCCAATCTAACTACCTTGAAATTAGGACCTTATAGCAGTGGTGAGCTCTTGAGCGAACTGAGAGCCACATAGTTTTTGTAAACAAAACATATTTACAACAGTATGCACACGTGTATATCAATACTGCTACCTGCCTTATAATAATATTCAAATTAAATATTCCGTACAATTTTGTAAACAATGATTA